GTGCGGATCCTAGCGCAGGAATCAAAAACATCAACGCGCAAAACTCTTGAGGCGTTTTGGATAAATTTCAAAAATCCAAAGATGAACCGGAAGGACGAATGCCTCACTATCACACGTGACCTGGCGCCCTATTTCAAAATGATATTTTGACCCCGGGGCGTGTCTTGCTCGCGACTCCACGTGAACTACGTGTGGGCCAGTCCCGCACGTAACATCACGGTGAGTGGCCTTTCTGTTCAATATGGCGTCTATTTGAAAGTTTGATCTTCATTAATACCTTAACCTTCTTTTCCACCGAATAATAAAAAGTATTCTAACATAAAGTACGTCCAGGCTCTGAGGAAGGCGAAGTCGCCGAAACGTCAGCCATCGATCAATAACATCAAAAACAACGACAACGACAACGACAACGAAGATCTGTACCAACCTCGCGTCAGCTTAAGAAGATCAGTTTATAAGATCTCATAAATAAATATAACAAGCCGTTTTTCTTTGTCCGAACTGGCAGTGATTTTCTACCATTTTTGTGATAGCCCCTTATTCTTTTTTAGGAAACACATACACAAACTAAGTGTTTTACATGCAAACCCATCCCGAACTACCTCTTCGCTGGTGCGTTAAATCCTTCGCGACGAAGCTGGTTTTTCGATAACATTTTTTTCTAATTTCTTTCAATTTCTGGATGAACAGAGAATTTCAAGAGATCTTAACACCAAGGATTTATTTAAAAAAACTTTGACATATCGTATTAATTGTAGCTATAAATTCTATACAGTATGTACTAAAATTCACTTTTGTTCAAAACTAGAATTTTTGAAGAAAAATTTAAAACGAGTCATCGTAAGTGCCAAATATTCCCAATAACATAGCGATAACCAAAGCAAAAAACTTATACGGCATTTGAAAAGGCTTGTAGATTCTAGCCTATTTATTGATATTAGTGTAATTCACTACGAGTTGAGATATGTCGATTTAAAATTGAAAGCATTCCAATGGTTTGCCACCTTAGCGTGCCTGGAAGCCGTTCGTAGCTGTTATGCTGAGAAGATTTTATACCTCTAAATTATTTCTCCAAATTGAGGAAGTTCATTACTTTATACCGAAGCCCAACTAAGAGTAAATTAACATCGGAAATCATGGCGCTCTTGTTGGAAACAGTCGCAAGACGGTAAATCTCCCACCGATCCACAAAGCGGTAACTTATTTTTTCTTCAGGCACAGGCTTCATTACGTAAAGATGCGTGTGAGCCTGAAAGCTTCTACGACATAAGGACTTCAGAGCAAAAATAAGCAGCTTCAAGGCTAGTGATAACGTCAATTTATCCATTAAACGAAAATGTAGCGTGGTGAATAAAATGACACCCGAATATTTCCGAGCAACAGAATCATATACTCCAAAAGGAGAACGGAGAATACAAAAGCAATTGTGGCGTGATGAATTGATAATCCACCTGGAAGTTGGCTACGACTGAAGCACCGACGGTAGCCAGCCAACCGACGACCATCAGCACCATGGAGAACCACTTCCACTCACCGATGTCCATTCGGCAATTAGCGTCGTAGAATTGCATAGTGGTCCGATGAATTAAGTACACTGTTACGAGCACTGTAAAAAATAATATTTATTTGGCGTTTCACTTTGCTTCACTTGAAGGAGAAATTTTCCAGCAATGAATTACTAACTGTCTTTACTGTTACACTGCTAGTTTTTGTAGCACTCCCAGCACCTGCTATTTCTTCCGTCTAGCTCGAATTAAATTCGCTCTAGCATGGTTGTTAAATACCATTGCACGCAACCGAAAGGGTTTATGAAAAGTTGTACCAGTTATGAGCAGGAGTTAGCTAAGCAATTTTTTATATTACGCCTACAAATTAGGTTAATCAATCAAAAAGTGAATGGGTGTTGATTAGCTCTCATAATCAAATCGAAAAGATTTCGCTGAAAACTTAAGTTTATGTTTAAAAAATTTCTAGTTGAAAACAAAACTATTGCTTATGAAAACAGTCAGCGTCGGAAACTGGTAAGCATGAACCTACAGAAAGCAAAGAGAAACAGATTTCAATGTCCATAAACTTACAAAAGAAAGCTGCTACATTGAGGAAAAACCCAAAAATGCTGCTTTCTGGTTGAACAGCACCACAATCGCTGGAACACTCTTATTTTATTCAAAAACTATAACAAATCGCTGTAGACACTGTGGGTCAAATGCAATAAAAAGCAGCACATCGGAGATTAGATGATTATGACGAGGAATTAATTTGCAATGTAAAAAGCGAGGAAAGACCAGTTGAACTTTATTTTACAACTCGTTATTTCTCACCTGATAAATGGAAGCCAACGGTCGACATGATTGTTCGAAACCGCAATGCCATACCTTAAAAAGGGCTATAATAGATAAATCAGAGAATGATAAGTTTTCGTTGAGGGTTTCTATGATAGAGGAACACCGTGAGCTCGAAGAAAAACACCGTTGTCTATCCACCACCAGAACATTCCCTCTCCTTCCTTTGAAGCGCTTATTAATGCCAAGACTTGGTGGAATCGTCAATGTAACCAGTTTCTGCACTTAAGTCAGGTTTGAAACAGGGAAAAAACTGGTGGATGTTAAAGTTTTTCGTATAATTACAGTCAAATAGAAAAACTGAACGCTATCCCAATGCAACGCATCTCACATGACTACAAAAAAGTTTTAGCTGCAAAACATAATTACAGGAAGACCTCGCGAGCGAAAAAAGTAACTTTTGAAGAAACACTAGACGATTTTTTTTTTTGCAAACTTCAGTGGTGATGTAAAAATACTAGTCGTAAAGCACTACTCCACTTGTTCCTTGTTCTACAACTCCTCTGCAAACAAGTTCTTCCGGCCATTGTCTCTCAGGAAATCCAAAGCACAAAGCGAAATAGAAATCAACTCATCCCAACTCACATGACATCATGATTTCAACAAAAAAAAATGCAATGCAAAGGACGTCGTCTCCATTGACATAGTACCTTTACCAGAGATGGACGAATGAGTGTTCACAAAACGCGTAAGATTTGTTCTCGGGTGCAAACTCACCACAGAGAATGGTTGTAATTCACATCATACTCTGACGTTAACCTGTCTTATTACCGTATCCGTTAAATATTGATTATTTATTTATTCCAAAAGCGTCATTTCATATTGCTTGCATCTGTTATGAATTACGACATTTAAGACATATTGAATTCTTACACAGATCTATAAAGTTCCTGTTTAGTAATAATCGCTGAAGATTTTGAATAAAGACGTTGTTGGTTATCAAGATTCCAGTGTTTACTGCAAGAATCACAGTTTGTAAAGTAAATCCTTCTGACTGTGATGCTTATAACATCAAAAGAACATTTTAACAATAAAAGGATAAAGGATAAAGCTCTCGGCGTTGATCAATCCCTGAGGGATGTGCCATGCATTCGACTTCATTAATCATCATTTGGAGGTGATTAGATGCATATCTGGCCTTTACAATGACTCGCAGTGGCCTACCGATGTATCGACAAAGTGTTGCTATCCTCCCTGACAAGCCTAGTACCAATCGGCCGACCACGAAGGTATGGAAGGCATCGTAGGCCATGGGCTCAGAGATAGATTCCACGTGTGTGTTGCAGGGCACCTCCGTCCACTGCGCCAAACGCGCCCATTATAAGAATAAGAGTTGGAAATTATACACAGTTTTTGGAAGAACATGGGTGAAGATATAGCCTTTTTGCGGATAACGGTTTCTATTACCGTGCCATGGAAAAATAACAAGTAATAAATAGAAAGTTATACTTCGTGATTTTTCAGTTTCAGTTTAACTGGATTCAATGTCGATTTGTGTTTACTTCACTATTCCGTTGACAGGTGACGGCTGATAACAGAGCTAGGGTAAGAAAATGGCGTAGAAAGGGCAAAACGAAGGCCTCAGTGGTGTAGTAGGTAACACGTGAGCCTCTGGAAAGAGTAATCGAGAGTTCGAATCTTTCTTGGAGCCGGGGTTTCGCACATCTTAGCATCATTGTGGTTGTTTTTCTCAAAATATTCTAGCATGAAGAAATAATAGGCAGTAAGCGAATGATTAGCATTATTCCACTCATTCTGGAGGTTGAGACTCACTGCTACATTACCCCTAATCTTGCATTCATTCAAATGCATATATGTAGCTTGTTCAACCATCAGTGATCATCGTAACCAACCGACTGCTGTGATCCCAACGGATCAGTTCATATAATTCAACCCATTCCGTTATCTTTTTTTCGATATGAGATTATCAATATCAAATATCTGGAAATATCTATGGCAAGTGAGTTGATATTTAAGCACTTTGGAATTTGTTGCAATTCCGAGCGCGCACTTTTCCACTGAGAGGGTGTTCAATCGCATAGAATTGTTCAACAAGTCGACTTCAGTTGCAATGAAATTCATAATTAGTTAGACGAAGTAGTTTCCACAAGCAAAACATTTGGATCTCGAATGACCGCTAATGAACGGATTTGCTGCGACAGTGGCAAAATCTAAATTTGAAGACAATGTACTTCTTCCCGATAGAAAATGAACTAGAGCTACCCATGCCGAAAACTTACGAACACCTTAGGAAAACTTCTTTGCACTTGCAGAGAAAACAACATTCGAGCAGGATTCGACATGCCATTGAGAAGTGAAAGTGAGCCGATGCCAAAATCATGGCCACATGCACTTCTAGCCACCTAGGTGGGTCATTATTGCAAAGGAAAGGAGCGAGTACAAGACTTGAGACCGGCATGACATGTGAATACAAGCCATTCAGTTACTCATAGAAACGAAAGCAACAATGCACAAGGGTGGTACAGCAAGAAAACTTACATCATACAAAAAAAACCAAAGAAAAAAATTGTAGACTCAATTACAATGACTCTCACGTATTTGAAAAACTCCGGACTGCAGGCGTATGCTGTGGAGAACGAACGCGTTATTACCATTTCCGGGAACTAAGGCGTTCACCACAGCATCACGGGTGTTAGCTGAGGGACAGGTGAAACAAAGTGTTCGCATTGTGTTGTGGTGAACGTTAGTCTCTGGAAAGGGTAAAACCGTGTTCGTTCGCAAACCTGCGATGCAGAGTTTTGCAAATATCTCAGCATCATTGTGGTTGTTTCACACGTAATACTCTGCAATGAAAAAATTTTAATAGGCAATAAATAAAAAGTTAACATTGTGGAATCAATGTTTTTTACTGTAATTAATAGAATCAGTCATGCGAAAGCCTTCCTCAGGTCGTCACCATCGCAAGGAGTCGCCGTCATTGTGGATCAGAGTGTGTTCTGCCACCATGCGACTAGTTTGATACCAAGACGTGATGGACCCTGGTATTCGTTCACTCTTGGCTTGCTTTCTGTTTGAAACACCGGACTGCCTTCTAACCTTGAAAGACCCCGCGAAGAGATAAATTCCTCCGTTGTACATCGTAGGCCGAAACCCAGGAACACCGACCCACGATGAAGCTGCAAACCGCTGAGTGGTGTTTCTGCGTTTCAGAATGCGATGTAAAGCAAGGGTTTATTTCTTCAGAAAAATTCCGCATATCTAAAAAAAGTTTAGCATTTTTACCCGAAAACCCAAGAAAGTGTAAATTCACCTGTATCACCTGTAGTCCCTTTGGTCGTCGAACTCGACCAGGTGCCATTAAATCTTCCATTTTTCCCTATCGCTGGCAAGAGTAGCCAAGTGGGTACTGTCTGCTTTAAAAACCGTTGAGCAGCATATCTTTCTTGCATTCTTCTCGTGAAAAGCCGTGACCATCCGGTCGGTGGTCTTCCTCCAGTACATTTGAGATTCTGAGGAGTCCAGAAACTAGTGGTCCCTGGCAATCGGTTCTCGTTGCATTGCGTGCTCGGCACGCTTTCTCTTCCACTGGTTACCGTAAAAGCAGCATCTTTGGGTTTTGATCGTTGACCAAGGTCGGAGCTTCGGTTTGCTTCCGTTTCATGTGCGACATGGGATTGGGCTATCGCATCACCCTTCCGACTGCGCGTCCAATAACCCTGAGTGATCTTCAATCCTGCGTACACAGCAACCAGGTTTCTGACGTATGCGTAAGGCAGGAAAAACTGTTTAGTCGAAAAGCTGGGTAAGGGGTTCGGTGTTCCTTGTTTTTTTTAATACATCCTCGGTGCTCTTGGAAGCTCTCCAAACCGCTCGTTTCCTTCTGCTCAAGTTTGGCGCTAAGTCGTTCATCATGTTGATTTCCCGACCTAGATAGACATGACTGGAGCATTCGGACATAATCACTCCGTTGTGCGTGAGTGAAACCAACGTGACCAATCCATTCCTCATAACCATCGCTTTTGTGAGATTTAGTCGAAGACCAATCTGTCGACAGGCTTTATGATAAAGCTCAAGCATACGTTCTGCCTAGGTAATGTTTGGGGTTACAACGACGATGTCATCATCAAAGCGAAGATGGTGTAACTGCCGACCGTCGATTTTCACTCGCATTTTATCCCAATCTAATGTTTGCATGACGTTCTGGAGGGTGGCGGTAAATACTTTTAGTGAGATGGCATCGCCTTGCCTAACTCCTCTTTTAACGTTAACGTTGATACCATTTTAAAATAGTGATATCTTGGTTGTGAAATTCTTGTATAGCTCACGAAAAACCTTTACATACTGAGTAGGTAATCCCTGACTATCAAGGATGACTGCTTCTATTTTAGCTGGCCCAAAGTGGTCCACGGTACTAAACCTCTTTGGAAACTGTGCTTGCTCAAATGGATGGCCTTCATCCAGTGTAATGTCCGTCCTGTTGAGAATAACTCGAGTGAAAAGTTTGTAGACGGCACACAGCAAGCAGATTGGGCGATAGTTGCCGATATCGTGCAGGTCACCCTTTTTGATCAAAAACACGGTCTTGCTGGTCTTCCACAGAGTAGGAACCTTGCATTCAGACAGGTAACGTGTGAGGAGCCAGGCCAGCATGTTTAGGAAGACTGGCGGAGGGTTCTTCTGGTGTTTGGCTCTTATCCTGTACGGTCCTGGTGCTGTTCGATTTTTCACCGACGAAACCGCATGTCGGATTTCGGAAAGTACAACCGGTGGTACAACTTATTCACCCTACTTTATTTTATATGACGGAAGGTGGACGTGGCTATCGAAGATATCCGAGTAGTATTTTTGAATGATTTTCTCCATTGCCTTTCTGGACGCTGTAGTTGCTCCGCCTTGATGCCGGAGTGCAGTCATTTTGGTCTTGTAATTGGCGAAGCTTCGATGGGGTTTGAGAATGCTTTTCCAAACCTCCCCAGCTTCGACCATTACTGGCGCTCTTCTCTCACCAAAATTTTTTTTATCGCCTGCCTGCATTGTTTGCAAGTTCGGACGCTAGTTCGCGGTTGCCTGCAGCTCGTGCGATTCCACGCTGGCGTATCAGCTGAAGTATTTCTGGAGACAGACGTCTCTTGGTGACTTTCAAACTCTGAGCTTTCATAGCGCAAACGTGAAGATGTTGAATGGGCCGATCGTATTCTTCGCCGATGTTATCGACAATGGCATCTTTTTAACAGCTGATTAATGGTTTGAATAAATCCAAGTTTACGGGTTCTGGGACTTCGGTTTTGGAAATTAGCGGCTTTTTCTCCTTTCCTCGAGAAATAGAATCTTGCACGAACGAGACGATGGTCTGATCCCGTGCAGAATTTTGGGACAGCAGCGGCATCTGTTAAGCGGAACCTTCTATTTAATATGATGTGTTCTATTTCGTTATGGTACACCCCATTGAGAGACTCCCACGTCCAGTGTTGAGGGTGGGACTTCTCGAATTGCGAGTTACCATGGATTGTCCTGGTCGCCATGAAAAACTCAGATAGCCGCTCACCGTATCCGTTTCGTTCTAATCCGTGGATCTCAATGTGACGCTCTTCAGACGTTCTTTTTGGTCCAATCTTGGCGTTTAAACCTCCAGTGATGAGCCTGAAGAATATATGGTCTTCTCCGTAGAACTTCTCCAAGTCCGTTTAGAACGCTTCGACTTCTTCTTCGTCATAGCTTGATGTTAGCGCGTAAACGACGAAGACTGTTAAAACCGAATTGATGCACATCTTTTTAATCGTAAACGTCCTATTTGGGTTGTTAGTTGTTCAAACGAATCGATGTTCATGGAGAAACTCGTGTTGACGAGAAACTGACTCCGCCGTCTCCTCTACTGTCGCATGTTCTGAGAAACAGTTTTTCTCCGGTGTCATAGACAGCGTTGAAAGGCTGGCGTCTTCTCGTCTAGGCCAGGAAGATGACTTCGTACCTTTCCCTTCCTGCTCTATTGAGGACTCGGATGCAAGTGTACGTGCATTGTAGGCACAGATCGTCACCATAGTCCTTTGAAATCCAGGCAGTTTCCATTGGCCCTGAAATTTTAACAGCCTTCACGTTCTCGTCCTACGCAACGCTGCACAATTGGGGACTCTTTAGTGGCCAGGAAAATAAGGCTCGTTTCTTTCACTGTGTTTAGCTTATTGATATTCACTTATAGTTTGCTGGGCTCTGAACTTGGAGGCTGGTTACGCTCATGGGTAGTCTGTCAGTCTCTTCATGAGTGGACATGGAGCTTATTTGTTGGAGGCGACTCCTAACCGCCACCCGTCTGTCATCTTCTGTCATCTTTGTAGGTCATCTTTTTGTAACGAAAAGTTTAGACTCTCAAAAACGTCTAAAGAATGCTACAACAGAACAAACAAGCTAGAATGGAACGAACGGGGTAAATGATACTGCAATAATTAGAGAAGCATTCCATCAGAAAGCAGAAACGGTGATCCTATCTTTCCCTAACACTCTCTTCCAGTCCACGTGGGAATGCTTAAGCTCGGCCACCCACAAGGTTCCAAATAGAATCGACTCGACCAACGCAACATTTGTAAAGAAAGGTGAATCCTCAAACACCAGCTGACCCAACGAGTGAAATGGTCGAAAACCTTTGTAGATAATGAATGTACAAAAATAAACGAATCTAATGCAAGAAGTGCTAAGATCCTCGCATTAGATGTGATTACGAACCACAGAGGAAAAAAGAAGTGGGAAATTAAGAAGAAGAATAGTAAACCAAATGTTTTTTCTAAATGATGTCACCGTTGCCCACAACTTTACACGGGATCGGACCATCCTCTATTTTTATTCTTGGTGGAAAGCACAGAAAACCACAAAATTCAGGAAACGCATTTCTGGATTTCCACGGGCTTCCCTCATATGAGGGATTTCAAGGCGGTTAGTCTCGAGGCTACGTGGGGCGTCCCCAGAGGCGGATAGGGGGTTAATCGCGGACGAAAAGCAACCTTTGCTTTTCTGAGACGGAGGTGGATCCAGAGAATGGACTCCCTGTTTCTGCTGCTCTGGTTTGGCCCATACTTTCTGCATTTGCTAAGCGTATTCATGCATGCGTGTGTGGGTGCGTTCTTGCTTATGCGGATTGTATTCTACGAGTCAATTCGGCCAAAAGCCAGCAATCAAGTGGCAGGAAAGCATATAGGAGGCAGTTAAAAGCCGCCTCCAACGAATGAGCACCATGACCACTCCAGGAGAGCCTAGCAAGGCACCCGTCAGTATAACCACCCCCACGTTCAGAGACTAGCAAGCTATACGTGGTTATCAAAATGCTAAACGCCCTAAAAAAACGGTCCTTATTCCCCTGGCTCCGAAAAGACCCCAATTTGGCAGCGTTCGGTAGGACGAGTACGGAGAGGCTGCTAAAATCTCAGGGCCAATGGAAACTGCCTGCACTACAAAGAACTATGGTGACGATCTGTACTTGCAATGCACCTACACTTGCATCCGAGTCCTTGATAGAAGACCTGCTCATGGTAGTGAGAAGGATAAGTTACGACGTCATCGGACTGGCCGATGCGAGACGACGGTACTCATTCAACGCCGTGTATGACACCGGAGAAGAACAGTTCCTCGGAACATGCGACAGTAGAAGAGGCGGCGGAGTCGGAGATCTCTCCAGCACGAGTTTGTCCATTAACACCGATTCATTCGAACAGCTTGCAACTCGAATTCGAAGTTTACGTTTAAAAAAATGCGGTTCAATACCGGCCTTGACAATCTTCGTCGCTTACGTACCGACATCAAACTATGACGAAGAAAAAGTCGAATCGTTCTATATGGACTTGGAGAAGTTCTACAGAGAAAACCACGCATTCTTTAAGGTCATTATTGGAGAATTCAACGCCAGGATTGGACCGAGAAGCACGTCTGAAAAACGTCACATTGGGTTCCATGGATTACAAAGAAACGAACAGGTGAGCGGCTATCTGAGTTTATCATGGCAACCATGGCCATCTATGGTAACTCGGAATTCCAGAAGTCTCGCCCTTAACGCTGGACGTGGGAGTCTCCCAATGGAGAGTACCGTAACGAAATAGACCATATCATAGGAAACAGAAGTTTTGCCTAACCGATGTCGCCGTTGTCCCAAAATTCTACATTGGGACAAACCATAGCCTCCTTCGTGCAAGATTCTATTTCACGCGGAAAGGAGAAAAAGCCGCTAAATTCAAAAACTGTAGTCCCAGAACCACCGCAAACTGGAACTTATTCAATTCATTAGTCGGCTGTTGGGAAAATGCCGTTGTCGGTAACATCGACGAGAACTACAATAGGTTCATTCAACATCTTCACGTTAGCGCTACTATGAAAGCTGAGAGTTCGAAAGTCACCAAGAGACGTCTGTCTCCAGAAACACTTTAGCTGATACGCCAGCGTGGAATCACACGAGTCGCATGCAGCCGCGAAGTAACGTCCGAACTTGCAAAGCAATTCAGACAGGCGATAAGAAAAGGTCTTAAAGAGAGAAGAGCAGCGGTAAATGTTGAAGCTGCAGAGGCTGGGAAAAGCATTCTCAAAACCCAATGAGGCTTCGCCAACTACATGACCAAGATGATTGCACTCCGACGTCCAGATGGTGCAGTCACAGCGCCCAGAAAGGCAATGGAAAAGATAGTTCACGAATGCCACTCAGATCTCCTCGATAGATACGTCCACCTACCGTCATATGAAATAAAGGAGGATGGATATGTTGTGCCACCGTCCTCCCTTCCGAAATCCGATGTGCAATTTCGTCGGTGAAAAATCGAACAGCACCAGGCCCGGAAAGGATAAGACCAGAACACCGGAGCACATTCCGCCAGTCCTCGTAAACACAGTGGTTCGGCTCTTCACACGTTATCTGCCTGAATGCAGGGTCCTTATTCAGTGGAAGACCAGCAAGACCGTGTTATTGTTCAAGAAGGGTGACCTGCACGATATCGCCAACTATTACCCAATCTGCTTACTGTCTGTCGTCTACAAACTTTTCACTCGAATCATCCTAAACAGGATTGACAGAACACTAAACGAAGGATAGCCATGAGAGCAAGCAGGGTTTCGAAGAGGATTTAGTACGTTGGATCACATCCACACGGTAACACGGCTCATTGAGCTGTCGCGAGAGTACCAAAGACTGCTCTGTCTCACTTTCTTCGATTTACAGGAAGCCTTTGATTCAATTGTGATAGAAGCAGTCTTGGAAGCTTTTGATAGTCAAGGAGACCCTACTCAACACACAAAGATTCTTCGTGAGTTGTACAAAATTTCACAACCAAGATATCACCATTCGACAACGATATTAGCATCGACGTCTAAAGAGGTGTTAGGTAAGGCGATACCATCTCCTGAAAAATATTTACCGCCACCCTCCAGAACGTCATGCGAACATTGGAATGGCGTAATATGGGAGTGAAAATCGATGGCCGGCAATTACATCATCTTCGCTTTCCTGATGACTTCGTCTTTATAACACCAAACATTAGCTAAGAAGAAGGTATTCCTGCCGACTTTGATAAAGCCTGTGGAATGATTGGTCTTCGATTAAATTTTACAAAAACGACGTTTACGAGGAACAGATTGGTTTCGCATGCTCCATTCACGCTCAACTGAACGAATACCTCCGAACGCTCCAGTTATGTCTACCTAGGTCGTGAAATCGATATGATGAACGACTTAGCTCCAGAGTTGAGCAGAAGGAAACGAGCGGCTCTGGAAGCTTTGTAGAGAATCGAAGAAGTAGTGAGGAGAACAAAGAACATTCGACTCCTTGCCCATCTCTTCGACTCGACGGTTTCTTCTGTCTTAACGTATGCGTCAGAAACCTGGTCGCTGCGTAAACATGATGAAAAATCACTCAGCGTTATTGAACGCGCAGTCGACAGGACGCCGCAAGGAGTATCTAGTGTCACGCAACTAAGGGAAGAGATTCCAAGCCAAGCGGGAAGATTCCGACCTGCGTCAACGATCAAAAATCAGAGATGCAGTTCACGTGATGCGTATGAATGATAACCGATGGGCAGAAGCCGCTAGTGACTGAATTCTTCGGAATAACAAACGCACTGCAAAAAGACCACCGAGGTCAGAGTTTTTCACAAAGAGCCTAGAAGAAAGATATGATGTTCGACGAGTCCCTAGGGCGTCAGAACCCATTTAGTTGATCTTGCACGCAGCGGGGAAAAACGGAACATTTACTGGCGCCCGTTCGAGTCACTCGGCGATCAACGGGACTAACGGTGTTACAGGTGATGAAATGTATTTTGCAGGTTAACGTAACCAAATTTATCCATACAACTGTATAAATGGTTAAAGGAAACGTTTCAGCATTTCTTTTCACAGCCTCTATGACAACGGTGGAAATGCCTG